ATAATGGGCTAGCACCCCACCAATGACCCGAGCGGGGATGCTCACTGAAACACATGCCTATAGGCCTCTGTAGACTTTAGCTGAAGTAGAGTTACGAATGGCGTGGTATTTTACCATTTAAGTAGACTTGATAATAGAATAGAATTACATAATAACTAACTTAAAAGTAATATTACCCGTGGACATCGTCTCGTACATTTCTTCTACAAACAAGTGATATAAACGACGTACGCGTCGGCGGTGTACCGACGCCTAGGCCTGCGCTCCTGAAGATATTAAAATGCTAATTTTTGTAACTTATGATTCGAAAATGAAGATGCACTTACGATAAATGGTAAATATATTATTTTCTATTAGTGCCTTTCCAAAATAAAACTGGATTATACAATATCAGTTACGAAAATAGCGATATTAAAAGGTCCTGTACTACAAAAATTAGTGCACCAGGAAACAATAAAATTAAAATGGCCGATCAAGGTTTGTTTGGCCCAGCGAAACCGGTAACCAGGGAAACGTAAAGTCACACTTTTTCTCCATTATTTTGACCCTGGAGAGAACACGGTATGTTTCGTGTACTATATACAGTGGTGGCCCTTTAAGGCAAGCAAGGTATGCAGTGCATACCTTGGCTAAAACAAAAAAACAATATAAATATTAGTACAGTTTTTTCGTTTTATTTAGCATTACTTAGTCAGAACCTTCTATATAAATTCTATATAAACCTTAATATTTCGAGTTGACTGCTACAGTCCATTGGAATACCAAAGTTTTTTTCAATATTTGGCCTACTTTGGTATTTAGGATCATGGAGGTATTTATGGGAGTTAAAGCATAGTACCCAACAACGCTTAAATGTCCTATGTGACAGTGCTCATGCTCTTATTCTCACAAATCGGGACCTCCACTGCCGATCGAGTATTCTATCTATAGACTTATAAATCTCAATGATTAAAGTTGCTTCACCCAACTCGCCTCTCAAGATATTATCTACTCCTTTATAGAAAAGTTTCCAGGTTTTAGCAGACAATCTACTTCTTTGCCAGCCTTTCATTCATTTATCTTGTTTCTACACACTGTAACAGGTCATCCATGTAAACATTGTTTAGTATAGTATCTGCAGCTTCAGGAGCTTTCTCTCTACCCATTTCGGCTGTTTTTTGTAATGCTGCGATAGCTATGGTGGCTGATGGCTTGTCGCCAAAATGTACTGCTGTTACACAGTAAGTTTTTGGTGGTTTCTCTGTTTCATGCCCTTTCCACAATAATCTATGGCAATGCTGATCAAGTAAGGATATACTAATGGAGTGAAATATCTTCTGGATGTCCCCAACTAGAGCTATTTGCTCACTCCTGAATCTCAGCAAACTACTAGTAAGTTGTTGTTCAGGTCCGGGCCTTTAGCCCAATAATCATTTAACATGTGTCCTCTGTAACTAGCGCTACTGTTGAATACTATTCCAACAGGAGTGCTTACACTGTCTGCTTTGCGTACCGCATGATGTGCGATGTAATGTATTGGACCATTGTATTCTCTCAACTCCTCTTCTCCTACTTCTCCTTCCTTTCAATCATATCCTTGATCTGTTCGTTGTACACTCTGGCTGCTTCTTGGTTTCTACTTAGGCGAGCTTCTAAAGACGCAATAACAACAGCTTGGTTATCTTGAAGAGCTTTGGGTTTTTGATCCATGGATAATTTGCTACCCATCCTCCCTCTTCGTAGGTTCGCCCTTCTTCAATAATGTTCAACTCACGCTCTTCTTTCAGTCAATGCCTAAGCTCTCTATGTTGAAAAATTCTCTATGTTTTACTTCGAGCAAACTAATTTCTGTTGCACATTTTTCACCTCTGCCAATTGGATGAGCTCCTGGGATGCACATCCTAAACCTAAACTCCAGAAGCAGTATGTGGCCTTCTTTCTTTACCTCACGTGGATAGAATCCGGCATAGTCGTATCCAGTCAAATTGTTGACATCACCTACAGGTCTTCGGACCTTGTCATGGTTGACCTCCAGTATTTTGGCCAGTTTCTTGTTTTTCTGTGGCTTTACCATCGCTGTAATTTTCTCAATGCCATATGCGGCGATCACCACTTCCCCATTATCTATTATATCGTCTGCGGCCACCAGGACCGCAGACGATTTAGGTGTTTGTTGACGGCTCGAATGGTTACTTCTCATAGATTCCATAGTATACACAACTCTTTCAATCAACATCAGTATTACATCTTCCTTCTCTGCCTTTTTATCTTCGGTCTTTATTCTATCTCTCACCAATCTCTGGAACACCGTATTAGGTAGCTTTCTCTCAATCTCGCCAATAACCTTCATATTTGACATTTCACTTTCTTTCTTGAATTTTTTACTACGTCAATGAACTTTATTAACTTCTTTCCATCACCTTCTATTACTTCCTTCGTGTTTTCTACTTCATTGGTTATTGCTTCTACTAATTTTCTTTCACACCCGTATATCTCGTCCAGCCTCAACCACATCGTATTCGTCCTCCACGGGTCCTATAATTCTCAAGGGGTCCCTACTTAATGCTTGCCTAAGGGCAAATGCTAACTGATCCGGATGTGTGGATGACTGAACAAATGTGGTAAAATCTTCTTTAAATCTACTGTAATTCTTCACATCTCCGTCAAACACTGGTAACTCCATCCGCTTTTGCTTCAACGTTGGTTTCATCTCAGCCACACCACTGCTACTGCTAATAACTGCTTAAACACTTATAGTTTGCCTCGACTGATTTCCTAGGTATGTCATAATTATTTGCATTGTGTTGCATTAATCTCTGCCATAAACTCTGTTTGGCACCTTTCCATCCAGTGTTCTTCCTCTAGGAATTCCTCTTCATCTTCATTCAAGCTGACAAGCTCACTGTGGCTCTCCTCAATTGCTTCAAATAATTTCTCTACTCTTTGGACTCTATCTCTGAAGTCTTGAATAACTTATTCTTCCTTTTGCTGGTTTCTCAACTCTTTCACTGTTGATTTTTGGAAAGCAGCACCAAACTCTTCGAAATGCTGTAATAACTCTTCGAATTTCTTGAATGCTGTAAAACACTATCTTTCTAAACACTGAATTTTTTAAATGTTTCGCCGATACTCAAATTCTCAAGCTTATTCTTTGTTGATTTATAATAATAATGAACCTATTCTCAATTAAACTTTGCAATTCAGGCATGCTCTGAACGTCACTATGTGCAACGTCTTTACAGAGGGCGCACTCCAGTAATTATTTTCATTACCAAATGAAACATAATGACCGGTATAGAGGAAATTTTGAATTATTATTTAAAATGAAATTTGTTAAAATACATTAATAGGAATTTTTTTGAAGAGAACATACTACAAACCATGCCGGTATTAAAAATAACATACATTTGTATTTTGACTATTAGGACACGATCTGATTTTGTATATAGTAGGCTCACGAACTTTTCCTACTTGCAGGCCCTAGCATCAGTGGCGTATGTTTCTTGAAATGGAAGGGAGCTGATTGGGGTGGGAAGGTGGGGGATCGGTGATTAGTTGAGAACTCGCAAAATAAGGTGATTTGAGGTGACTTTTACTACTTGGGCAAGATTTAAATTAAGTTCTTTGCTTTGATAAAATAATGGATGTTATAAGTAAATCGTGACGTCATCACTGCAACTCCTAATGTTATAAGCCTATCCCCAACAGTCCACTATTTTTTCAATTATTGGACGTTGGGATTGATTTATTTTTGTTTCGTGTGCATAAAATACTTCACCTCGAAGACTTCGCGCACCGCGATGAAAGTTGAATTGAAATTGAAAATTACTTTCGTAAAGCAAGGTAAATTAGAACCCGAAGAAAGTTACTTCAAGTTAAATATTAAGTATGAACACTTACGGAATTCCTTGAATCAATGAACCCTAATAAACTAAACAAACTGAACATTTATACTGTCGCACTTTGTAATAATTGTCGCACTTTGTAATACCAGGGAACATTGAAATTATACTGTTACCTGTCGCACTTTGTAACAAATCTGTAACACTTTGTAATAACCTGTCGCACATTGTAATGACTGCTGTCGCACTTTGTAATACTCAAGCTGTCGCACTTTGTAATAGCTGCCTGTCACACTTTGTAATACGCAAAGCTGTCGCACTTTGTAATAAAGTCTGTCGCACTTTGTAATAACTTTTTTTCATTCAACTATGTTGACATGTAATTTTAATGGATATAAAAATAGAATAAACATTTAGAATGTTGCATATTTTAAATGACTAATACTAAAAGGTGAAGGTCATATATAAGCTTTACTAATGATTTGTATTATAATGTTCCAACTCGGTGACTTACTGCGTTACGTCGTACGTAATGCCAAATCAACAAATTTGAGAGATTTTCTTTTCTTGTGCGCGTACATGATACTACAAGGTCAAGGTTATAAGCAAGTTTTAAAAATCGAAAGCCTAACTCCTGTCTCTTATACACATCTAGATGTGTATAAGAGACAGATGTGTTATAAGTGAGAACATTGCTCCACTGTCAGATATGGCGTTTAGACAGAGTCCTTTTCTGCACTTAGTACTCATAACTTGCAATAAGCACCCAACCTCATTTCCCCCCTCTTCTTCCCCACCCCATTTAGACATCTCTATATCCGCCCCTGTGTATTATAGATATATTATAATTACATTATAATAACTTATTGATACATTACTTCCTTATGACTTTTAAATTCTGTAATAATTAGTTTGTTTTATGTACTTTTCTATGTAGGTGTGAACTCCACCATGAATCCAACGATCGTTCTTCCTTCTCGAAAGAGAAGTAAGGACATTGGAACAGATTGGAATTTGTGCCTTTTGTGTCAGAAAGACTCAAAGAAAAGGGTGATCAGCAAACAGTCACAACAGGAACAACACAACAGAAAATAGTACAGACAATCGATGCCAGGCTAAAACTTCATGACACAGATAACTTTGACATATTGGAGAGGTTGAAGATTGCAGATTTGAACGAATTGTGTCAAAAAGGGAAACTCAAGCATCACAGGGACTGCTATGCCACATTTACAGGCTCATTGCAACTCAAAAGACTTAAAAACAAAGTTGAAAGTGAGAGGAGAAGTTCACAGTTTAAAGACTCAAGCACCCAAGAACTCACGATATCTTGTAGAAGTGTTTGAAATCAGCTGATTTCAATCTATGTATCTTTTGTCAGAGACAAACAACAGAGAAATCTAACTTAGTAGCAACATTGGAAGTATCTGATAAGGTCCTCAAAGCTGCTGCAAATGACTATACGATGCGGTGTCGATTAGCATTAGTTAACGACTTGGTTGCAGCAGACACAAAATATCACCTTAAATGCTATGTTAAATTTATGAGGAAGCATGCAAATAATGGAACTTCACCCCAAAACAGCACGATCTGCATTGAGAAAGTTGCAGATGAACTTAAAAGTGGAATAGAAAGTGGTGCAGTCTACACACTATTGGATGTTTGGAATAGATACACACAACTGCTCTCTGATTTACGTGTTGATGCTGGCAGTTACAAGGATCATAAGTCATGGTTAAAAAAAAGTTAACAAGAACACGTTATATTTTCATTGCGGATTTTTTGGGCTCGGTACGGACTCTAAATGTATGCATTTTCTTTAAGTTATAAGGCGTATGCGGATTTTATAAGTCCGCAATGACGATATAACGTATTCAAGTCTACTTGATGGAAATGTGGAGTTTGTGTCACAACTTGACCCCCATCAGCCACAACTAATATTCCCTTCGGTTTCAGCTAATACGATTCTTCAGGCTCTCAAACAGACACACGATGATCTTGATCGTACAGTATTGAAACATGAACTACACACTAGCAACTTTACCGACATAGACGCACAGGAGTTATTGGCTTTGCATCATACGGCACTACGCATCCGAGCTGACCTTAAGAAATTACCACGGCTTACCAATTGTGGCAGAGTCGATGCAGACGATGCAGCTAAACTAGTTCCAAGAATTTATACATGTTTCTGAGTTTGGTACTTTCTGGCGAAGCAGATGATACTGAAGATGATAGCTACATTAGAAGATTATCCACCAGTATTTGCCAAGATCTTGTATATGGTTTAATCAAAGGTAAATGCCTTACACCAAAGCATCTTGGTCTCGGATTTGCTGTCCACCAAGCAACAAGATCCAAACGACTAGTTAACCTAATTCATAGTGCTGGACACTGTGCCAGTTATTACCAACTACTGCGTGTTGACACTGCATTAGCTCAGCATACGATTGAAAAGTACAGGATTAATGACAACACAATAATCCCATCTAATCTTACTAAAAATCAGTTTTTCCAATTTGCAGCTGATAACATCGACATCATTGAAGAGACCCTTGATGGTACAGGAACATTCCATGCTACACAGATGGTTGTACATCAAAGAGGCATTTCCGATAAGCATCACCATGATATACCTATTGCCAAGGACACCTCTTTTAAAATACCGGAGGAATTCAACAAAATCGATCCTGCGCCTTTCCATCGTGGCCGCACAAGTCCAGTGTTAAACAAGGAATTAAACCATGAGTGGTTCAACCCAGATGTTAAACAAGCTGAACTTGCAAATATAAAAGACATAATATGGATTCTTACAAAGTTGCATGATCCTGAACACAATGTTCCTTAATGGACAGGGTTTAATCAGCTAACAATTAAAGATGAGCAGGATGTAACTTCAACTGGCTATCTACCTATCATGAATGCTCAAGCACACGAAAGGAACACTTCTTGTAGAGTTCTACAAAACACTGCCTCCAACAAGCACCTATTGGCTTCAGTTCATGAAAATGGTGCCTGTCCTTTTGCAATTTATTCGTGCAGAAAGAACTGGTAATTGGAAGATGCATCTCTCTGCGTTTGTTGGAATGCTTCCATGGTTTGCAATATACGATCATGTGAACTACTTACGTTGGGGTACTGTGTATGCTACAGATGCACACCAGCTTGAGAAGTCACATCCAGATGTATATCAGCACTTTATGAATGGCAATTTTGTGGTCAAAACAACAAACAAACCATTCAATCAGATCAACACTGACCAGGCATTAGAACATGTCAACAAAGTAAGGAAAATAGCAGGTGGTTTAGTCGGCATTACCAAAACAGATAGTGCCAGAAACAGATGGTGCCTAACGTATAACGAACGTAGTCGACTTGTAGAAGAAACATGCAATTTGTTTAAAATAGCAACAGATGACCATGAGTATGCTCTCTCTTCAATGAAAGATGTTGGCTCTTCTCGAATTAAACGAGACAGTCGAGACGCCGAGTGTGTTACTGAACAACTGAGGCGCTTTTCGGTGTTTAGCCGCCATGAACCAGAATTAATCAGCATTGCAACAAAAGATGTTGCAACACAAAACATCAAAGGTGCTCTTCTCTCGGCATCAGACAGGGGACAACAACAAGTTACAGAGTTTGTGAAGTCACGTCTCATTGAAGCTGAAGTTGGGTTTCATGATGCTTTGAAACAGACAAAGTCTTTGACACTAAAATCTATGTACATAGTAAGGAACAAAACTGATAAAACATTGAAAGGAATTAATCTTCAGGCCAACAGGATGCTCTTCCAGCCTCTCTTAATTGCTAAAGATTCAGGTCGTAGTGTTGACTTGAAAAAACTTATGTGCCATGAGTTATCTCCTGTACAATTGGCATTGGCTGACACATCAGGAAGACTGAATCCAACCAACAAAGCCGAGCTTGGAAAAATACTTCCCAAAAGAGACATAAAAACGTGTATCATAATCGATGGCCAGGCATTGGTTCAAGCAATTGGTAAACCTGCTGGAGCAAAAACCTTTGGAGATCTGGCAGAAGCGTTTTCCTCAGCTGTCTTCGGTCATTTTAACACAACATGCACCCAGGTAGATGTCACTTTTGACAGATATAAGAGTAATTCCATTAATTCAGGAACACGAATTAAAAGAGCTGGTGTTCAGAGCAAAACAATAAGAAGAATAATTACGAACAAGGATGGTCCTCTTTCTATCAAATGGAAACAATTTAGAGATCTTCCAGAAAATAAAGAAGATCTTGCAAACTTCTTCAGTGAAAGTATATTGTCCAAAGCTAGAGAAACCATGCTTAATGGTGAAATAATCACATCAGGTGGATTTCTAAATGAAACAGAGGCAGCTTCATCTCATGATGCAAATGTTTCTTTTCTAAAGTCTACGCATGAAGAGGCATACACTATAATCATTTTACATGCTTTAGCTGCTTGCAAGAGTGGATATGAACGGCTTATAATCTGCTGCAGAGATACTGATGTGCTAGTACTCCTTGTGCATTTTGCTACCCAACTGAGCCAAGAAATTTGGTTTAGAACAGGAACTGCTCAGAAAAGACGTTTTGTTGCAGAAAATAATTAATGTGTTACTCATTGACATTTTATGTAAAGCACCAAATAGTTCAGAAATTGTTTATTACAAACTTGTTTACCCCGAAACCGAGATTCAGAAATACCGGGTTGGTGTCCGGCAGGGGATAGTTTTACCAATAATTATTAATCATCTATAATCACACTCTATATTTTTATATTATATAAATCACTGCCCCGAAACCTAGACTCAGAAATACCGGGTTGGTGTCCGGTGGGGGATAGTTTTACCACTAACTTTACAGAGCGAAATAAAACTTTACAATTCGTTATTTAAATTTGAAAAAAAAATGTTTATCGTATTTATTTTTTCATGTCTATTATACAGTAGTGTACAGTCACACAAAAGTGTTAATAGTACATTAGGTTATTGGTCATTGATGCTTGGACATAGTTTTGCATAATTTAGTTGTGCCTGGCTGGTTTTTTAATAAGGATCTGTACCTGCCACCAGAGAACTTTATTCTGTATTTTAAAATTAAAGCCTGAATATAATTAACTATTACCATAATCATATTTATTATACATCTAATGGATTCCTTGCCTCTAGTACATGCGTTTTGACACCAAGATCATACATCTAGCTTATTTAGTTCCCGTTTTATGTACATTTTAGGTAAATTTTGGCGGCCATTTTGAAAAATGGCCGCCATTTGTACACTAGACGAAAAATCAAGTGTCAACAGGGCTTAGGGTGATCAGAAGGGATTAATTAGGATATCTGGCTATGCTGACCGCTTCTAACATTCCACTCCCCCTAACTCATTTTCTAGGCCTCTTTTTAAATTTTTTTACTAGTCTATTATGGTTCACGTCACCTGATTGCCATTGAATAGGCGTTTGTGACGATATGCGTTAAGGTTAAGCACGACAGGCGTTTGCGACGAGAGGCGTTATGGTTAAGCACGTCAGCTTTTTACAATTGAATAGGCGTTTGCGACGATAAGCGTTAGAGTTAAGCACGTCAAAGGTTTGCAACAACAATTAGCGTTATGGTTAAGCACGTAACCTGTTTACCATTGAATAGGCGTTTGCGGACGATATACGTTAGGGTTAAGCACGTCAGGTGTTTGCGCCAATAAGTTTTAGGGATAATTTGTGGATTAAGGTTGGAGCACGTCAGCAGTTTACCACTAAATAGACGTTTGCGACGATAGGCGTTAGGGATAACAAATAGGGAAAATAACATGTTCAATTGCAATTGGCCGGTAAAATTTAAAATGCCTAATTCATTTTTTCATTCATGCACATTCATTCAGTTCCTACTGGCCACTTTTGAAATTTTTATTAACCCTAATTCCTATTCATTAACGGAATGGCTGACATGCTTACCCCTAAAGCCCATCATCGCAAACGCCTTATGACGTGCTTAACCCTAACGCCTATCGTCGCAAACTCCTAATTATGACATTCTTTTAATTGCTATTCAATGCTTCCTAGTAATGTTATATTTTGTGAAATGGGTGCTATAGTCCTACGACTGCTATTATAAGCTATAGCTATTGTATAACAGCTACTAACAGGCTTTTAATCGCTATTTAATACTTAACCCTGTGATTGCTAATATTTTTTGAAATGTGTGCTATATGACTGCCATTATCAGGTATATAGCTAGTGACCAGCTACTAGTATGCATTTAATCACTATTTAATGCCATTTAATATTTAATCAAAATGATTAAACAACAAAGAACATACAGTCGATATGCTCCAGCACAGATATTGATATATTTTGTGAAATGGCTATATTATGACTGCTACTATAGGCTATTACAAGCTGTAGCTAATGACCAGCTAGGCCTACTACCATACTTATATAATGATACCGTATTTAATGCTAGGACCAAACTTGCGCTCTGGCCCGTTGTACATCGAGTATAAGGGATACCGCAACTGGGTACTACTACTACATAAATAAGTGGCGGCCGCCAGATAAATATGTGGCGGCGCCAGATAATCGCTGGTGCGTGACATTCTAGCATGCCAAATTACTTTTACAAAACTACATAATTACACAGCAGAAATTAGCATCTTTTTTTAATATGGAATTTTACATATTTCTTGAACTCTAACAAAAAAATATTTATAAAAAAAAAATCCTCATTATATTCTATATGTGACACTGGTTTGTAAAAAAAAAATGTTTTACAATCAGGGAAATGTTCCGTTTCTGCCATCCGATTTGGCCTATTTCTTTGTATAGGCTAGGCCGATCTTCGTCTAGGCCTAGGCTAGGCCCTAGTCCTACCTCGTCCCTGCTGCACCACCGGCGATATTAGCTTCTTTCCCATCATAACCATCACTCTCATCACTTTCACTAGCCTACAGAAACACAATTATAATTTTCCCAAATAATTTTCACAAAAATGTTCCCCTGGTCTCTATCCACACTATTATCATCAACAACATCGCGTATGGCTCGTTCCACAGTATACCGGTATCGCTGCTGCGCGGCCATACTGTTTGACATTTTTGTTTGATTTATAAAATAGTTTTCAATAAATGTTGTCAAGATTTTTTATTATTCGAGAAGTTCAAAGTGTATCTTATCTTGTTTATCTTACCTAAACATTATACCCCACCATATTTCAACACAAATATGACCATTAAAGTTAAGAATAGATACATTAAATGCATAACGTTCACCACCACATTTATCCATAAGTTGTCTAGGAGAAATACGGTAACCTGGACGTTAGATGTCTTGGCCTAGTCATACATTTAATTTCCTTAGAGTGTGTGTGTATTTTGTATCGGTATTAAGTGTTCTATTTTGTGAAATCTAATGGCGATGTTTAACATACTAGAGGGTAAGTGAGAGAAGCGGGCGCCCCTCTAGTATGGAAAATAATGTTAATAATATTAAAATAATATATTTAAATCAAAGTTAATTGTGGCATTAACTTCCCTTTCAATAATGTATTAATATAATTTCATTTTTTTTCTTGAATTTTATTATCATTTCTCTTTCACAAACATTCTAATAAGCATATGAACTCCGACATTGTTGATATCTTTTATACCTTGATATTTATAGTAAAGAAATTAAAAAATATATTGTATTTAAGAGAGGTTGCTCGCCAAGATCAACAATCGTTAACGTACTTAAAGATACCTAGTACCACTGCCTTCGAAAATTTGACAGAGACACTTTGCTACCACAGTCGCAGCTACACTCCTACAAACTTTTCTGGATGGTCTGAGAAGTCTGAAAGCTATACCAGCCTTTGTCCTAACCTAGGCCGAAATTTAAAAATATAATCAATTTAATCAAGTAATACAAGAGTTTTGTATGCCAAAGATTTTGCACATCTGCTTTAGATAATCTTATTTTAACTTTGTCCAAGATCTACGACCAAATTCACATTAGAAAAACAGGTTTGGTACACTAGCACGTAGTCCGTAAACATGCCAGAATTGACCTTTGGCACGCCATCTCAAAATTCACACTTTTTAAACTCTACAATCTGTATTACACCCATAATCACATGTCCTTATTCTTGTTAAAAAAAAACTCATCGGAATGAATCGGATTGTTTTCCGGTATCTTTGTTAAGATCAACTGTAATGCAACCCTTGGGTTGAGCATTATTACATCATCAATTATATATTAGAATATTGTTTTATAATTTTACGTATCATATTTAAATATTGCTTCAAACAATATGTTTATTTTTGTATTGATCGCATTCCTCATTTTTATGTTTTAAAATATAATTATATCCAACTATTTTTATTAAAACTTTCATATTTATCCAGAATTTTCGAATAGCGCTTATCAATGAGAAATCTGAAGCCAACATTGTTCGCGTAGTTGATGAATGTTGTGATAATCTAGAAGTAGTTGTCGAACAATGCGATTTACTTGAAGATACTTTTCTGAAAAGAAACGAGATACATTGCACTGCAATTCTTCGTAATTTACAGTTTACTCGGATTGATGAAGAGAAGAAAAGAATGCAGGTGAAAATTTATTTTTACTTTAGTTTTATAGTTTCATACCTTAGGGTATTTATATGAGGCAATGTAAGATTCTGCCTTCCCCCCCCCCCCCCCCCCCCCAATGGGAAAAGGGCATAACTGACATTTTTGGCGAAATTCAGTTTTATAGCCTAGTGGGGTGACTACATATGTTTGTGTACTTACAGTTTGTAAATAGAAATTGGTTAAATAGTATGATTCTTGACAGTAGAATATGTCTAGTTAATGTTAGGCAAACATGATAAGTCTACTTAATTTATGCTATATAATCTTGCCTTGCTTTGAATGGCATGTTACTATGGAAATAAATATGTGGGAAAATAATGACTGTTTAATAATAATAATTAACCATGGCAGAATAAGAATTCACATTTTAACGAGAAATAACAATGGCAAAGAGGGACAACTAAAACGATTATTTAGCAAATAACTATGGCAAAAAGAGGCACAACTACAACATTATTCAGCAAATAACCATGGCAAAAAGGGACTACTACTTCGTTTATTTATAGCAAACAACATGGCTAAAAGGTATAGCTGCACAGTTTATTCGAATCAACTGTGTTCACTAAGCAAACAACAATTTACTTTTCCATCTAAATCTAAATATATATACATTTTCTAAATATTTTATTAGAATATAAAAAAAAAACAATAATTACTTGCAATCATTATATTATTACTTGAATTTGGATCACAGAGAAGAACTGCTAATATAATAATAGGCCTAAATTATATTGTAATCACATGACTTAAAATACTTTGTAAATAAAATAAAAAAACAATTTATATAAAATAATTGTAATACTTGTTTAACGTACACGTAGAAACATTCACACGCGCATACTAACTAAACAACAGTTGTATTTCACATACGCATATCCATACGGCATGCATCTTTCACCAAAGATAATAAATAGCAGAAGATAGAGCAGCTTCCCAATAAAGTGGAACATCCGTTCAAAGGCATTGTAGGTACACAGAGAGCACTTTTCCCCATCCTCGCGGCGGCGCTATATTAATAATAAAGGCGCCGCTCTGGTTCGTTTGTTTCCTGTAGTTTCTCCACTTAGTAATGTTCAAATTTTACCTCATCCGCAGGAGGGCGAATGTTCCATCAATTTTAATACAAATACGCGGAACAGCTCATTCTTCTGCTATTTAAGTTCTTTGCTTTCACGCGTTCTTGTGCGGGGTCCCTAGGGGTACCCTAAGGCCCCCTACATACAGGGTGCTCGATCTAGCACCTTGAGCCAAAAAATGTTAGTATTTATTTTTTATTGCGTTTCTTTGGTATTATTGTACATTTATTTTATAGTTTATAGATGACTAATATAAGAAATTATATATTGACTGTTAATAACCTGACTTAAAATTGCGTTGAAAAGAACTGAACTGTGTACTTATATCCTTTTGCCAAAGTTCGCCAACATGTCTTGAATCAGAAAACCCACGCCAAAAGGGCGTAACTGACATTTTGAGCAAAAAATCAATATTTATAGAAAAATGTGTGCTACGGCGGAAGAGACATTATTTGTATATTTGAATACATTAACAATGAAATCAAATACCAAAACATATCTTAAATAAATTAAACGTTTTTCTTAATATCTCCAAAACTGCAAATTGTCAGTTATGCCCTTACAAGCATGTGGTACAGGTCAAAAGCACTAATCTTACACAAAGAAATTGATTATCCTTGTAAAAGGTTCTCCGTAAAGCTGACTTGTTTGCACATTATGTGCAAACATACAGATTGCAATAACATATTTATCGTATCGTATTATGTATGGAATGTAAATCAAAAGCGTGGTGGTTAAAATACTTGTTTCTAATCCCAGTTTGTGAATAGAATTGTCACCTAAGAAGAAGGTGATATATTCGCTATTATCAATCATTTGTCCATATCTGTGCACATTGAGCGAACACATTTTCTATTAGTCTATTAAAATATAATTTTAGAATTAAGCGTAAATCAATTGATCAGAATCTGATTACATACGAAATTGTTTCCTAAATTAATGGAACACTTATAAACAAGTGCAATTCATTAATCTGCAAAGGAGGAGTTATAGACATCTGAATTAGAAATATTACAAGTTTGAGTTAATTCTTTCTGGCCAAAGCATACTTCAATTTGCATTATGTAATTGAGACTAATGAACCTTTCCGCAGGCCCCTCTCCTTGGATATTTTTTGCTAAAGCCACACAAAATTACAGTGATAAAACATACCCAAGCACATGTTTTTGTGAAACAATTCGCATGTTTTGTCCTAGCCCTTTTGTGATTCGTCAGTCAGTTCGATTAATACTCCAGAATGGTATATTGTGTGTATGACTTATCAAATGAGACTGAGTGCAACTTTGACCTAACAAATCATATGTGTTTTAATAGGAATCATTAATAACCGAAGAAGGTTGGGCAAAAACAATTCTCAACATTCTTCTGCTTGAAAATGGCAAAAGGAAACCTTATAATGAGACAAGTGCAAAAATGATAGTTTTTGTATCAACAGTCCTCATTGTAAAGGAAAATGGGTAAGTTCACTAAAACTAATGCTAATAAAGATCACCTAAGAATAATCATGCATAATTAAGTATTTACTTGAGCACAGGGCCAAATAATTCGCAGATGTCAATCCAACTAATGAAATTTCTTCAAACAATTGATAGATCTCATCACAAAGTGGAGCGGATACTAAAGCATAATCTAGTTTTATTATACTGGTAGAGTTCAATTGTAGTGATGATTCGAAAGAACGCGTTTCATTTTAGTTTTTTTCTTAAAAATTAATTCAATATATTTATTTGTGTAAATGTACTAATACATACACTACAGATAAATACCAAATAACAGTTATGATGATGTTTTCTATCACCCAGTAAAACGGACGTAATTCGCTTTTCCAAATTAAAACAAAAGATAATGTAGCAGGAGAAATCTGATGTTAGGCATTATAATTCAGTTATTTTTGCCATTAAAATGCATGCATTATACTTCAGGTCTGTTGAAATAACAAATTAAATGTGATTTTTGCCGAATTTTTTGTTTTTAAATTCCATTATCTCCAAAAATTATAACTTTTAGTTTCAATAATTAAAATCGGGCCTATGTAATAAAGAGGGGTGACACAAGCCATAAGAGTGACGAGGTTTTATTTTCACCGGAGGAACATTTCGAACAATATGAGGAACATTTTCGTTGATAGGCAATATCCGATATGATATTTACATCATTTTTTTCTGTTATTTCACCATTTCAACTTTAATGAGATATACTTGACTGTTAGGACATGTTTCTATTTGAGCACCGATGTTATTATTATTATTATTATTATTATTATTATTATTATTATTATTATTATTATTATTATTATTTATTTTATTTTGAATGTATTTTGTTGTGTTTTATTTACTACAATTATTAGCAGCAGTTGTTTAGTTAATTTGAAAGTTTATTCCGCCATTTTAGCTATTGTTTTGAAGTCATTGATGTCATACCGAAGAAGAATATCAGATTCCAAGTGCATCCTAGCTCGTTACCACCATGGCTTATTACATCAACAAAATGTATACACAGTCTAACAAAACGTAATACGGATTCAAAAATCCCTTCAATTGCATATTGGTTTTGTATAGAAGATATGAATGACAGGTAAGTAAAGCAATTGATTTTACTACTAATTTTGTTTCAGCTGTAGCTTTTTTATTTTGTCCAGTACGTAGGTATATAGTTATGAATATAAAATAAGATATACCTTACAAATTGCAGGTTTTCCTCCAATTAAATAACACTTTGGGACATGAGTTTTCATGGTATTTAACAGCTTTGGTCTCTAATTAGAATATTAAAAATAAAAGACATTTGTTAATTTGGAAAGTGGTCTTTAAATTTGAGATGGTCTTTATTTGAAGGGGTCTTTAATTTGAGAAAGACCTGTATTTGTATTGTACTAAATAAACATATACACGCAAATGTAGATTCTTAGCTCAATCTTTTATAAGCAGATGGACGTTTAATATGAACATTTGGAATAATAATAAGTAATATGATAATTTAAGTCTATAGTTAAAAAAAACTTCAAGGCTTACGTTTTTGGTGGTACTATAGCTGACTGCCGCCACCTAGCTGTACATCAAACGGTATAGCCTCAACCAACACACAGCAACACGTTTGACTGTATCACACCAGCCTTTAAATAGTAAATATGGCAAAAACAGCTATTACAATTTTTTAATAATACATTAGGTAAACTTGAAAACTCTAAAACAGCACAATAATTATAAAATAACTACCGCCTTAGTGAGGTATTTAAAATGTTACCTTGCTACTCAATATTCATTACAATCAACGACTTTAATTTTAATTGCAGTTTCACACATTTTTATACTTTAAAGCTCCGTCAGCTACGAATAACAATAGTAAAATGCTTTTCACAATTTAAAACACATAGGCCTTATTAATATCATAAAAAAATAATACATTCATCATTTACATAAATAGCTAGCATATTAAACAATTCAAACATTACTGTTTAAAAAGAAGCAACCTAATAGCTTAATCAACAGTGTTGTCGCTGTTGTTATGCAGACATAACTTTGTTAGATTTTAATATTTCAAGCCGTCTCCGTACGTTGATCTTAAACCCAAGTTTGTTTTCTTTTACAAACTAATACCACCCAAAGCTCTCACTTGAACTTTCTTTCTAACTCTTGGCCCTTTCTTCGGTAGTGAGTTGGAAACCACCCTCTTGTCACAATGACGTGATTAATAATCCAGTTTAGATGCCTCTTCTACTGTTGGTGCAGAAACAAGACACAGTTTCATCACATTAACAATTAATATGATCCTGTGGATTGAAGTAATAAGATAATTTAAAACTGTAGTTTAAAAACTTCGATGTTTCTTTCGTTGTTATTACTATAGCAGACTACCGCCACCTAGCGGTATATTAAAACTGTATAGCCTCAATTTTCCAAGTAAATTAATTACAATACAACTCGACTTAAAACTTTGTTTATATAGACCTATAAAATAATTTTTGTGTGTAGTGTGTTATTAGGCCAAAAAAAATGTTGTGTTGGCCTCCGCGACCGACAAACATTTTCCAAAAAATCGGGTCGGCTTTTTTTTTTTTTTTTTTTTTTTTTTTTTTATCTGAAAAAGACATTTTCATCAAAATTGGGCCATATTACAGTATTTGTACGCGTAAAATAGGTAGAATAGAAGGCATAATTTTGATAACCACGCGCGACGACGATACGTGCACACAACATCAGATCTCTCGCACTGAGCTGTCAAGCCACGACCAGATCTAGACCCAGGCCTGAGCTAAAACCTATCCTTTACTACTGTACATCTATGGTTTGCTTGAATCAAAAATCGTATTCATTACCTTACGGTAGATTGGAAAATAAATGAAAACAGGTTTAGGTCTAGCCATCGCTTAGAAACCGGTACATAGCTAGACATTTTCGGCTCTGTTACGGTTTTAGGCAAACCATAAACTAAATATTTTTCTCTTCATTTTTCTCAAAGTTTACTTCGATTGTTTTACGTAGATTCTTGGTTGGACATTTTTTCATAGCCACTGTATGGTATTGCTCGATCTGCCCGCCCGTGTGTGATCGTGTGGATCGGATAAACATTATTATTTAACTTTTCGAAGCCAAATAAATCTTTCTTTAAACTGATTTATTTTTGTTAAATTTATTTCAATATACATTTGGTTCGTATTTATTCTGTCATTACGTAACTTTGAATACTTTTTCTTTGGCAAGCTTGCCATGGTTCTATTGTGGTGCATATGAGCTACGAGCCATTAGGCCTATTCTCTTCATAATAGGGACTGCAGTTTCAGGCCTATCCTATTTCATGTATTACAAAAAAAACAAAAACAAAAAACCACCGACCGACCTTCGATCTCCATTTTTTTCCATTTGTGGCCAACACAACATTTTTTTTTGGCACATTAATCATTAGATAATATTTGGCAAAAACTAAAGCGAAATAGATATAACTGTATTCATTGTCTCATGTTTTAGAATGGAATCTGTAAAATTGACAAGCTTGTTTGATTTGATAGAAGAAGAAATTACAGCACAAATGATGGAGTATAGTAAGTATAAAAACTCAAAGAGATACACACAAGATGTGTCTAAGAGACAGCTACAAAACAACTCGACTTAAAACTTTGTTTATATAGACCTATAAAATAATTTTTGTGTGTAGTGTGTTATTAGGCCAAAAAAAATGTTGTGTTGGCCTCCGCGACCGACAAACATTTTCCAAAAAATCGGGTCGGCTTTTTTTTTTTTTTTTTTTTTTTTTTTGTTTTTG